GAGTGGGGTGTACGTGACTATTCACTTCATTATAATTCTTTAGATCTCATTTAGGTTAAATATATGCATATATATATGACCTTTATGCTATCTATAACATGTATGCCTTTCAAGTGGACATTTGATCCTCATTACCCATGGATTCCACATTTTTGAACATGTCCACTCACTAAAATTCATTTTAATTCCAAAATCCATCCTTCTAGAGCTTTTGTGGTCACCACGGGCCTGTGCGGTGGAAAATCTGAGTGGCCGGACCCACACTTGGCCAGCTGCCGCCGAGCAAGGCGAGGTTCTAGCTCCTTCTGTCAGCTCCCAAACTGTAAATCACTTTCACAGTCTATTGTGACACACTTTTCAGCATCTTTGTGCTTTTTTTGTCATTTCCATCGCTCGAGTGGCTGCAGGGCTGTCCAGCGGACACGAGAACAAGAAGGCCGGGCGGGCTTCACGGAGGAAATCCACGTGTTAGATGCGGTCCATGAAGGTGTGTGTTACAGCAATGCCGGCGGTGAGTTCAATGTTAGTGAATCAACAATATGTACTAAACAAGTACATGTTATATCATAAGTACATATCATATCTTCAAACATGAACACACATACGGTAGTATGTTGATCAAATGATGAAAACAAGACCAAAACATGGCCAGAGGCTTGAAGAAACCTAACCCTGTGTTTGTAACGAGGAGCAATGGTTCAGTATTCACTGATTCAATGTTTGTGGCAACTTGATAGAATATAGTTACAGCAAACAATGAGAGTACAAGGAATAATAAAATATATTTACTTTTGTGTCATACATAAAACGAATATCAAACATACAAAATTGTATGTTGTATACATATACAACAATTTCATATATATTCTTTTACATTTTATAAAATATGTGATATGTTTAAAAATATAAAATGTACATAAATATAAAATATTTCCTAATAAAAATGTAAAAGGGGGAAAATCAGCATGTAGAGGATGTATTCACTAGCAAAATATATATAGATACAAATTTACATGTACATATTAATCGGCTTCTATGCCTAGATTATCTCTGGAAGGATAGAAATGAAATATAAACGTGGTTAAGACAGAGGAGAGCGATACTAAGAAAGACTTACATCCCATTATATACCTGAATTTTGTAACAGATGTAATTTTTTAAGATGTTTAATTGACTTTGAAAGAGAGAGGAAGGGGGCAGGAGAGACAAACATGGACGTAAGAGTGACACATGTGCAAACATAAAATCGCGTATGTCGGCGTAAACTGGAGATAGCTAAGGTATAGTGGCTTGGATTATTGGACATACTGATCAAGGTCTGCTCCTTGAGTGGGGTGTACGTGACTATTCACTTCATTATAATTCTTTAGATCTCATTTAGGTTAAATATATGCATATATATATGACCTTTATGCTATCTATAACATGTATGCCTTTCAAGTGGACATTTGATCCTCATTACCCATGGATTCCACATTTTTGAACATGTCCACTCACTAAAATTCATTTTAATTCCAAAATCCATCCTTCTAGAGCTTTTGTGGTCACCACGGGCCTGTGCGGTGGAAAATCTGAGTGGCCGGACCCACTTGGCCAGCTGCCGCCGAGCAAGGCGAGGTTCTAGCTCCTTCTGTCAGCTCCCAAACTGTAAATCACTTTCACAGTCTATTGTGACACACTTTTCAGCATCTTTGTGCTTTCTTTGTCATTTCCATTGCTCGAGTGGCTGCAGTGCTGTCCAGCGGACACGAGAACAAGAAGGCCGGGCGGGCTTCACGGAGGAAATCCACGTGTTAGATGCGCTCCATGCAGGTGTGTGTTACAGCAATGCTAGCGGTGAGTTCAATGTTAGTGAATCAACAATATGTACTAAACAAGTACATGTTATATCATAAGTACATATCATATCTTCAAGCATGAACACACATAAGGCAGTATGTTGATCAAATGATGAAAACGAGACCAAAACATGGCCAGAGGCTTGAAGAAACCTAACCCTGTGTTTGCAACGAGGAGCAATGGTTCAGTATTCACTGATTCAATGTTTGTGGCAACTTGATAGAATATAGTTACAGCAAACAATGAGAGTACAAGGAATAATAAAATATATTTACTTTTGTGTCATACATAAAACGAATATCAAACATACAAAATTGTATGTTGTATACATATACAACAATTTCATATATATTCTTTTACATTTTATAAAATATGTGATATGTTTAAAAATATAAAATGTACATAAATATAAAATATTTCCTAATAAAAATGTAAAAGGGGGAAAATCAACACGTAGAGGATGTATTCACTAGCAAAATATATATAGATACAAATTTACATGTACATATTAATCGGCTTCTATGCCTAGATTATCTCTGGAAGGATAGAAATGAAATATAAACGTGGTTAAGACAGAGGAGAGCGATACTAAGAAAGACTTACATCCCATTATATACCTGAATTTTGTAACAGATGTAATTTTTTAAGATGTTTAATTGACTTTGAAAGAGAGAGGAAGGGGGCAGGAGAGACAAACATGGACGTAAGAGTGACACATGTGCAAACATAAAATCGCGTATGTCGGCGTAAACTGGAGATAGCTAAGGTATAGTGGCTTGGATTAAACACTTAAATGGAACACTTAGGCATCAGTTGTAGTTGGCGCACAAGGACTTCCCAAAATGTTGCAGAGCGGTACCCTTGACCTTCCTCACTTTCCTTAAATGGTGAAAGCTCAGGAAATTGATGTTTGCCCATGCCAACCCCCCTCCCCCAAAATGTCCCATCCATGAACAGATCCCACTCTAACGACTCCCTCCTCTCGGCCTCCACCTCGCAGGCTCCTCTCTGAAACTCTTCCAAGCTCTGGCTTCCGTTACAACAGCCTCTCTTGGTTTTCCTCTGACCTCTCTTCTCAAAATACTAACACCTATGGGGGCATCTCTGACCATCCTGATGATGTCATTCTCCCCCAGAATTCCCAAGTGACCACACCCACTCAGTAATCACATTATTGTATGAGGCCCAATCCTCCATCGAGAGATTCCATCTGGGTTTCAAAATGTAACTTTGTGCCCTAACCGGTGTGGCTCAGTGGATAGAGCGTCGGCCTGCAGACTGAAGGGTCCCAGGTTCCATTCCGGTCAAGGGCATGTACCTTGGTTGCAAGCACATCCCCAGTAGGAGGTGTGCAGGAGGCAGCTGATCGATGTTTCTCTCTCATCGATGTTTCTAACTCTCTATCCCTCTCCCTTCCTCTCTGTAAAAAATTAATAAAATATATCTTTTAAAAAATGTAACTTTGCTATTCATGCAAAAGATGACTAAGATATAGTTATACAGATTTCAGTGCCAGTTCTCCAAAATACAGATGGCAAAGATTAGATAATAAACCATAAATAATGTGAACAACTATATGGGTGACACTCGCCAACATTGTAGATGTGAAATCCAGCAAATGGTTTGACTTCTTTTTTTTTCTTTTCTTTTTTTTAATGAATCATAGCATTAGGGCTCCTTTCTTCCCACAAACAACAACAAAATTCCATACTTGTACCTACATAGTTTTCTCAAATGACATGTTCTTGATGCTAAAACCACACTGAATGGAAAAAGCAAGACTCATTTTTATTCACCGCTAAGAGTGGAGCGAGCGTACAGGGTCCTCTAATATGTAACTACGGGACTATGATTCCAGTCAAAGGACTATTTGGGAATCAGGGAGTAGACTTTCCACTCCAAGTCATGAGGACCCGAAAATCTGGAAATGACAGCCACTCTGATTTATGAATCCCTTTCATATTCCGTTTCATGTTTCATGTTCTCCGGTCATCATGATTTTATTAAATGACTACATGGTCTTTTCCTATCTAAAAAAAAAAAAAGCTGTTCTTAATGTTTAATCAAATTCCAGCATACCTTATTCACTGTAAATCATCATTAATGACACTTAAACAATGTATAAAAACCTAACCTAAGAGAGGATGAAGCGGTACGCGGCCCCAGCCTCACGCCATGTTGGCCTCTACGAGAATTCCTGAACAGCAACAACTGTCCCCAAGCATGACATGTCACCAATCTGATCTCCAGAAGAGATGGAACGTTACAAGGATGAAAGGTTTTGAGCAGCGAACGCATGGAAATAATTGTAAGTTTCGGTGACTTCAAACAGCGAGACTTTTAACACATTTTTTTCCTCTTTAAACAAATTGTTTCTTTAACATCTTCTGAAATTTCTCATCCCTGCTTAACTCTAAGGAATATAGGAAAAGCCAGTGAGATAATATTGGGTTTTTTAAGCTCTTTGAAAAAAAGAAAAGGGTGTTAAATATCCAGAGAAATTTGTACATGCTTTATTTTAAAAACTGCATATAATGTTTTGAAGATCTGAAAAACATCAATATACTTGGCTTTTGGATGCAATATTTTGACAAACCAAATAAATGCCAAGATGAAATGAGGTCATAACCCTAGCGAAAAAGTAGAAGGACATCTAATTTTCTTATCAAAAAAGTACCAGCCCGGCCAGCATGGCTCAGTGGCTGCGCATCGACCAGGAGGTCACAGTTCAATTCCTGGTCAAGGGCACATGCCCGGGTTGTGGGCTCTATCCCCGGTAGGGGGCGTGCAGGAGGCAGCCGATCCATGATTCTCTCTCATCATTGATGTTTCTCTCTCTCTCTCCCTCTCCCTTCCTCTCTGAAATCAATTTAAAAAGCGTATAACAATTTTAAAGTCTTTCAAGATATAAGCTATTTCACCAATAGCTATTGTATTCCTCATCGTGAAAGAACAAAGATAATAATGAACTTGATTCACAAAGCAGCACGCTAAGCAAATGCGAGTCTCTCGCCACTGAATGACTCAAGGTCAAACACAGTGTGTTTCTCTGGGCTGTCGATCCCTTTGAAACCAGCGTGTGTTTGTTTCACGCCTCCTTCCTCTGTGCTGACGAGGGAGGACATGCAAGCCCCCGCCCCCCAAAGCCCCCCAGCGTGTACCTTGGATGATGAACCGCTCCATGTTCTCCTTGAAGGGCTGGATGTGCTCCTCGGGGGACACCTGGTACACTTTCCCCGCCTCCACCTCGCACGCTGCAAATCAGAGAGACACGCTGCTTAGGGCGCCGTCGATGGAGCGTCCAAACCACCTCAAAACCTCATAAAGCCAGACTGTCCTGTCAACCACCGTAACGGACATATGTCCTACACATATGTTGGAAACACCAAATGCTGACATGACGAGTCTATAAGCAAGGCTTCGTGAGGGGACTGTGAAAAGACATCCGTAAGAGTTGGTGACTCCAGCCCAGCTGGTGTGGCTCAATGGTTGAGCATCGATCTATGAACCAGGAGGTCACGGTTCCATTCCCGGCCAGGGCACATGCCCAGGTTGCGGGCTCGATCTCCAGTAGGGGGCGTGCAGGAGGCAACCGATCAATGCCTCTCTCTCATCACTGATGTTTCTATCTCTCTCTCTCCCTCTCGCTTCCTCTCTGAAATCAATAAAATTTTTTTTTTTTTAAAAAGAGTCTGTGACTCCAGTTCGGTCACTTCCACAGAGTGTCACCTGGGCAAGGTACGCAACCTCTGAGCCTCCGTCGCATCAGGAGAAGGGAGGGCCCAGGCCTGCCTCTCAGTGCTGTTATGAGGATCAAATCAGAGAAGAGATGGAACGTGTCCCAATAGCGTGCCCGGCATGGGCTGTTTCCTATCATCATCACTGTCGTTATTATCCACTAACTCCTAATACAGGCTTATTCCCAAGTTCACATTTCTGAAAGCAGGAGGCTACTTGTCAGAAACACGGCCTTGCGATGGCGAGAAGGTGCTGGCCATCAGCTTCCTTTAGGATGGATCACTTAGGACAGCCCCGTGTAGTCGGAAATTCTGTGCCCCTTCATGTCTACAGATGGGTAATCAGATATAGTTAATCGTATCCTAAATGGATGAGTTTTCTAAACGTATATACATTCCTATAGAAGAGGGGCAACGGTGCATCAGTGAAAGGAAATAAGGCAGGTTATCAGCCCTTCTAATCGTTTCGGTGAATCCTTTCTGGCAAAATCACATGAAGAAATAGTCCCAAAGGCCTTTGAGTAGCTTCTAATTGATACCCAATCTATTCCTCTAAGATAGCAGTCGCCAACCTTTTGGACCTCACGGACCACCCGTTGGCGACCGCTGCTCTAAGACACAGATATGGACTGACTACCTACTGTGTTCAAGGTACCTCTCTAGGCACTATGATTACTGCCATGAACAGAAGAGAACTGGCCTGAAAAAAATGCCTGCCACAGGGAGCTTGCCTTATCCTATACTAGAGGCCCGATGCACGAAATTCGTGCAAGGGGCTCGGCCCTCGCAGCCCCAGCTTCGTCCAGAAGGTGGTCTGGAAGGTTGTTTGGCTATCCGGTCTAATTAGCATATTACGCTTTTATTATTATAGATGGTTTTTCATTAATTCTTTTTCCATCACAATGAGAAAAGTACAATACGGGGAGGGATGGGAGGGAGAGGAAGAATCCAATTTCTCACCTGGTCTGATTTTCAGACCTTAGAAACCTGAGTCAAGAAAGATTAATATTCTGACTGTTAGTGACAATTGTTCAATTTCACACTTTTTATTAGAAAATGGAAGTAATGCCTGTCCCCTTGTTCTCGATGCTGTAGCATGCCTGGAGGTCTACGCAGCCGTAAGAACACCCTCCCACCAGCAGCCTGCACAAGGTCATCTAATGGGCCTGGTGCCTTAAGAGGGGGAGGTCATTGGTTAGGAAAGCAGAGATGGGCCACAGACTAACCATGACGAAGTCGTCTCAATTGGACCACGTCTGCAGGTCTGCATTTTTACTCAGCAACGTTTAAACAACAGAAGATACAGCCGATAAGAAGGGGTAACATATTTTTAAAATGAGGGGAAATTATATTTTCAATTACATTTTGGCTCCTATAAACTGTATTCTTAATAGAAACGCAAGCAAACGCTATCTTTTCTATGGCTTCTATCTCTCCCCCCTCTACTTAGAGTAGATTTCCTCACACACAAGGGGAACCAAGAGGAGTTTTAGATCCAGAAAAACTCTCAGGTCATTTACTGGCAACCTCATCTCACTTCCTGTCCTCCTTCCGGAAGTCACGGATCTCGGAGTTTTGAGTGACGGCCATTCCTATCTCTCCAGGCATCTTTTCCCTCATTGAGCTGCTGTAATGATTAGAATCTTCAACTCTACCCTGAGCAGAAACCCCTCTGTCTCTCTACACTGTCTCCCTGTGGAATGACATGCCTGGAGTTTGCTTTTCAAATAGTTCTGATAGAATCACCACAGATAGTCCAGATCTGCAGTGAGTCACAGAATTCCAGGCTCTCAGAGGACGGATGAGGCCCCTCCACTCCTATCATTCTTTATTTACTCACTCCCCCACTCTTTCTGCTAGGACTTAAAACGTTCGCTGGCAGGCAACAGGCATTCAACAATTATCTGTGGAATGAATAGAAAAGGGAATTGGATTCTCCTGTCAATATGAACTCCTCATTAATCTGGAAATGGCCTCTCTATTGGAATGTCCCCAGGCCTTGTACATGCTAGTCATCCCCCTCACATACTCTTATCCCCTTATGATCAATGGTTGAACTCTGATTTGCCCATCCATACACAACTCTCTCAGCAAGGTTCACCTATCACCAATCCCCCAACCCCCGAACTTTGTATGTCCCTCTTCTATAGAGCATGTGTGAAAGATATAAGATAAAAGGAGAGATCCAAATAAAATAGATCTGCATTCAGGTCTGGTTCTACTAGTAGCTACGTGGTCTTGAGCTAGTCCTTAGATGACCTGAACCCCAACTTCCTCAACTAGAAATCGGGCTGATGAAGGCCAGGTACTTGAGCACTAAGCACTGAGCTGATGGGTAAGAAGTTCTCAAAAAATGATAGCTATTAATGATGTTATCTTATTGCATTTATTGTTGACATGTACCTATCTCTGATTATAATTTGCATCCCCTGAGGTCACCTCTGTGTGCCCAGTGTTTGAAATTCAGAGGAAGCACTAAAACCTTGTGTGAAAATAAGTACTTTCAACTATGCCAATGACCACGACTTTCCTTAATCTGGACATTAAGCCTCCAGTGGTGGGTCACAGATAACAGCATGTAAATCTTAAACCAAGTGCCCCCAATCCCAACCCAGATGACTAAAGCTCTTCACTGTGATATAAAATGTTCACAATTTGCCGAAACCGGTTTGGCTCAGTGGATAGAGCGTTGGCCTGCGGACTGAAAGGTCCCGGGTTCCATTCCAGTCAAGGGCATGTACCTGGGTTGCGGGCACATCCCCAGGGGGTGTGCAGGAGGCAGCTGATCGATATTTCGCTCTCATCAATGTTTCTCTCTATCTCTCTCCCTTCCTCTCTGTAAAAAATCAATAAATATATTTTTAAAAAATAAAAAATAAAATAAAATGTGCACAATTATTTGTGGGTGGCTGTTGCCTTATTCATTATATTCAGAAGGAAAAACCTGTTGGATAACTAGAAAAACAAAATGTCAAGCTCTAGAGTCTGTATAGACTTGTATATGCGCACTTCTTATAGACATATTTATTCAATGACAAATATCAATATGTTGCATAAGGAAATTTATAAGATTGGACTCCATTCTTTGCCTAACTATAGTGCATTTTGGTGCATAACATCATCCTGGCTATATCATCTTCAAAACTGGTGACTATGTGAATTTTTTTTAAAAAAAAATACCAACCACTGTGCTCTCACCAACTTAAAGGGTCATTTAGTCACATTATTAAAAGCATAACATGAGATAGAGTTCCTGGAAAATTGCATTACAGTCAAATCCAAATATTTTTCTTAAAATCTGTTAAAGGCAGTTGGCACAACTGAGTCATTCCAACCATGTAGGCTTTTGTTTAATTTAAAGGCCTTCCTGATCCAAAAAGGTTTTATATTGTGTAAAAGGGCTAACCGTGGAAAGCATGAGTGAGGCTCTCAAACACAAAGACAAATCTAGCCAGAGGAGAGGACGAACAAAAGTCTCTCTGATGTTTCCATTGGAAAAGGGGTTTCAATCCCCAGACTGGCATGTCGGGGGCACAGCCAACATCATCTTATCACCATCCGATTAAAATAAGGGCGTCACACACCACTCTCAGAAATGAGCCCTGATCATGAGGTTCTGGGGGGGGGTGGGGGGTGTTTTTAGAAAACTGTTATATTCCTGCTGTAACTTCTACGTCTCCACGCTCCATCAATCAATCAATGTTGCCCAGTTTCGAGTCGCTGCTTTTCTGTGAGCTTCCAGAAGGTTTTACCGGCATCCATAAACCTGCCTCGTCAAGTTTGAAGGAAGCCACGTCACAGACACAAAGAACAAAGACGGTTGATTAGATCAGAAACTCTTCTTTACAAGACCCAATGGTTTCTCACGTCAGCGTGCGTTGGACATGACTCTGGAATGGCTTTTAAGAAACAGAAACCACGCCCTAGCCGGTTTGGCTCAGTGGATAGAGCGTCAGCCTGCGGACTGAAGGGTCCCAGGTTCGATTCCAGTCAAGGGCATGTACCTTGGTTGCGGGCACATCCCCAGTGGGGAGTGTGCAGGAGGCAGCTGATGGATGTTCCTAACTCTCTGTCCCTCTCCCTTCCTCTCTGCAAAAAAATCAATGAAATATATTTTTAAAAAAAAACAAAACAGAAAAAAAATCAATAAAATATATTTAAAACAAAACAAAACACAGAAACCACCATGTAGCTACTGAGAGAAGAGCAAGGCAGTCGATGAGATGTCTACAGAGCAGTTGGAAGAGCAGGGAGACTGGGCTCCCTCCACACTTGGTCTGCAGGAACGACTCCCAGAAGCAATCTGCAGCCCTGGCTCTAGGGGAGGTGTTCTCTACGCCACAGTCAGGATCTATGCTGAATGGCGGGGGCCAGGGAGTCACCAATGGTTTTATTTTCTCTTTTTGTTTTTTCTAAACAAATCTTGTATACCTCGTGCAACAGAACATTACACTCCAATGTAAAACACTACACTTTTTTTTCTATGGATTTTTGATTTCTTGGAAAATCTTTGGGTT